AGAGAGAGAGAGAGAGAGAGAGAGAGCTTCCCGCAGCCCCACACTGGCTTCCAGCCCCTTGCCCGACACTTACTGGAACATCTTCCTCTTCGGTCTCGTCAATCCAGGACCATCGAGGTACATCCAGACGTTCCGCAGACTTTCCTTCAAAGGATTGGTGAACTCAACAGTTACGACCATGTCAGAACCCACTTCCTTTGCACCACGAACCTATGAAACAGGTGGGGGAGAGAACACAGCTCGTCAGCAGCAAATTCAACCTCTCTCTGCTCTTCTGTCTTCACCATCTGCACTTCTGCTGAAGCTTTACGGAATGGTGTTTTTTGGCAATGGAACTGGTGTAATGAGAATAGCTGATTGCTTTGACTGGGGGATACCTATTGAGAAAGAGATGGAAAATTACTAATTAGAATCACACTCTTTTCCTCATTATAAAACCAACCTAGTCAGAGCTCAGGTTGATAGCTGCAGCCACAGGCTGCTCCCTGTCAGCAGGAGGTGAAGTGCATTTGGTGTAGCAACAGGTGAGGGAGTCAGAGTGAGCTCTGCTTCTGGACAGGGCTCACATTTCCTGCAAGGGCATAGGAGATTCCTGAGGGCAGGAGGGAGGAAGCACTCCACGGGGCTTGCGCCTGCCTGCTTCCAGACACATTGGAAAGAAATACGTCCAACAAGAAAGTCCTTACTGTGGAATCTGAGGAAGAGGAATCTGGACACTAAACCAGGAAAAAGAGACTTTTCATCTGCAGCCACAACATCTGAGTCCAGGAGGGTATAAGTCCAGGGGGATATAAGGCTATCTGTTGGTGAGTTTATCTATAACGACTCTCGAAAGTATCAGGCATTTGGCAAAGCAGCCCCTAAGATGGCCAGAGCACAATGCTGGCCTCAGCACTCACCAGCATGGGGCCTGAGTGACTTACGCAGACTTTCTGAGACTCAGTTTTCTTGTCTCTACAACTGGACTGACATTTGTATGGGGTAATCTATGTCCAATGCTGTTATTATTATGGCCGTTGTTATAATCTCTTATGCTGTGTTTACTTATTTGCCATGCACTTAGAACTGTATTATTTTCCAATACAAACACAGTGTGCTGGAAAATGGCCAGGTGGCTGTAGGATTTGTTTGTTTAGGGGCTATGTAGGCCAAATGGATGAATGTGTATAACCTCTACGTAACTTGGGAACAAGATATAATAGTTCTTCCCTCATAAGAAAGGGGTGGATGAGATAATGACATAAAAGCTCAGTACGTGATAGTTCATACGTTTTTTAGAGTAGCTGTGCTCTCTATTCACCTTGTATTTTAGCCCACTTTTAACTCCAGTGCCTAGATGGTGCCCAGTAAATATTTGTTAAATTAGGTCGATAGCTCCAGAATGGAACTTCCTGGATGTTTGGGTTTTTCATATAACAACCCAGCCATTGTTATAGCTTGTTTCTTTAGCCAGTGTGTAATAGAGCAGAACACATGTGGAAATGAGCCTTTCTTATGAAAGGAGGTGAAGACGAAGGATACTGCTCAGAGAAGAGGACTCTTACTGACTTCACAGTCAGGAATAAAATCTTATGACTTTATTCTTCAAGCCACGGTTTGTGGTTTAGGAAGCAAAACTGTCCCCCAGCTGAAAACCGCCAGTGTAGACAAAACATGCAGAAGACAGGCTGAGTTTTCCACTGCCTTCCCAGACTTCCTGACTAGATCGATTTAAATGTTGGAGTACAGAAGTGCATTAGAATACATGGTGTCCTTCGTTTAATTCTTAAGCGTGTCCAATATGTTTTTTCTACATTAAAACATATCAGAAAATGTGGCATATCTACACAATGGAATACTACTCAGCTATAAAAACGAATGAAATACTGCCATTTGCAACAACATGGATGGACCTTGAAAGAATAATATTAAGTGAAACGAGTCAGGCAGAGAAAAAGAAATACCACATGTTCTCACTTATTGGAGGGAGCTAAAGGTGAATGAATCAATTCACACACATACATACACACACACACACACACACACAC